GACCTTCCTCCCAAATTGAAGCTTAAATTGACCAAAGCATCCGGAACACTCTATCGATATTGAGTATTTCTATATTGGTGGTGGGTAGGAAGGTCACACTTTTGCGAAGCTAATTCTTTGAAAGACTAAACAACTTGTGCCAGATATACCGGATGATATGGGAGCGCTTCAAGCCTATCTTCTTTTGAACTTTCCAATTGGCTAACCTGTTGGGTGTGCCTCGCCATTGATCACTCAGAATTTAAGTCACTGATATAACACTTTCTAAACTATATTACTTCTCTGGAGTAGTCAGCTGACTATAAGAGCTATCTTAGACCTTACATAAGAATCGAAACCCATTCATGATTCGTATTTAATGCTGTTTTAAGTGGCATCGTGGCCGATTGGTTGACATATATCGCCTCGTTGAGCCTATAGGAGTTCCGGGGTCGTATAGTAGGATGTTTTTATGTGAGTTCTTGGGAGACTTAATCACTCACGCTTATGCGCAAAGATTGCGCTGACACCATGCACAGCCTATCTTGTTAGAAATAAGGAACTTGACCAATGCACTAATAATGAATGATTGTGTGGTCAATCAAATTATCACTATTAAGGGTTGAATGGATCCATTCAAGCGATGGACAAAACATGCACAAATGTAATAAAAGAATCAATTAAAAGAGATCGCTATACCTATAATTCCAACAAGAACTTATTCATTAGGATCCTTTAGGAACAGCCTTCAATTGGGCAAATTTTGAAACCTTCAGGATTTTGAAAGAGAACTATGTGTGTGTGTGACCGCGCGGAGCACGCCGGGCCACTGAATGGCGTGGATCTAAAAAGCGCCTAGAGGCTGGCGGGTACCGAAAGCCGTGAGAAAATATGGATTACGCAAAAATTTTAAGAAATTGGTCCCTTGTATTGCACCACCTAAAGAAATTTAGTATGGAACTTGCTGACGTTGGCTTTTATTATATGTCAAAGAAGGTTCTGGAGGATAATAGTTAACTAGTCCCAAGACATCATAACTTTAACTGTGGCGCCCCTTATGGTATACCACATATTGATAATACAACAGCAGTAATTCGTTAGGGCCTAGTGATAACCGGAATCAATTGATTGTGTATTGGATAATGCGAATAAACTACGAGAGAGGGATCCAACAGAAATCGAAACTCATATAGAGTGATGCATTTATTAATGAATCGTGGTAACCAATATGAATCTACGCACATGCCTAATTGTACTAATCTAGCATAGCGATGCCTGAGGCAATCAGAGATTTCAAGTTACTTTGGGCGGGCATAGTTTGAAAAATATGTAATAAGATTTCCTAGATAGTTTTATATTGTCTATTTTTGACCTTAATTGAGAAACTTTGAAGATTATCTGACGCTCATTTAAGCAATTTGAGAGTCTGATCCGTTGAAGTAGAGCTTTCACTCCTGTAGATTACGTTGCTTATTATATCAAATTTTAATGTTCATCTAGAAGCTGATTTCCACTGGAATTCTCATCAATAAGACCTATCTTCTCACCACACTAGAATTCGATAGACCACTCCAAGTTAAGAGCATAACTTAGAACTAGTGAGCGTCTTCTACCCTCTATGTACCGGTCTAGTGCTTCGTAAGTGACCAATAACGTCAAATAGATAATTACCTCAAATTAGTAGGATTAACCATGCGTTGATAGTTTCCTACTAGTGGCTGGGATTTGTATTAGGTACTTTACAGGATCCATTTCCTGCGCATCGGACACCCAGTGGCCTCACAGCTCAATTGGGCCTTCCTAACCGTTGTTAAGAAGACCCATAGAAGATGAGTTGATGAAGCTTCTTGGGTTTTAATATCACTTACAAATGGTATTGACATGTCATACTTAAGTTAGAAAAGTCCTAAATCTAATGTGAGCAAAACTATTCGAAGGATTTGTTGGATAGGCCGGAAGGCCACTCTCATACCCTCTATGTGGTGGCCCTTTCAGGCTCTCAATAATAACGCGTAAGGGTGCTCCGTATGAGATATTGTACTTTCAAGTCATTGTTCCTGGGCTAGCTCTTAGGTCATAATAACCACTATATCTTTTAAACAACAATAATTGTACATTATCAGGAAATCTTCATGATGGAATAAAGCAAACTATAATACTTGACTCATGGATGCCTTGTCTTCTTTTCCTCAAAAAATAATAGAATTAAAACATTCATCGAAAAAGAGATGTAGCCTAAACTAGAGATCAATAGAAAAGAAAGCTGATAGGTGTCTAAAGAAACAGATCGAAAAAAACAAGAACCGCCACTAAAAAGTCATGAATGAAGCACATTAATTATAAGGAGTCACTTCTCTTATATATCAATCGTAATAAACAAGAACTCAAAAAAAATGAGCTAAGAAGATAAGACCCGAATTTGTAGAAGTTATGGTCCGAAAAGAAATGAAATCTTGAATTGAAAATTTGGTATATCTTTTCTTGTCAGAGTCAAAATTAGGCGGCCAGACTTTTAACTAAAAACCCATTACATTATTATCACTCTTTTTGTTCCGCACTTGTAAAATCTTAAAGATGGTAATTGAGGGCACCACATTAAAATCACATCCTTTAATTCCCTTTCAAGCTTCCTCACCATATAGACCCAAGCAACACACCAAATTTAGTTTATAAACTTTGAATTTCCAAAATGTCTCCAAAAAAAACAAAACTTCCGTAAAATTCGAATAAAAAAAAAAAATAAGTACAAATTAATATTGAAATTGAACAGAAAACTATTTTGGATCGGCAAGGTTTTTTCAGAAATTGGCAAACCGAGATATTGACCACGGCCTCCATTTGGCTCGAAAGAAATTGGGTGAGGGCTCGTTAATTGTACTAATCCACATATGGCTCCATCAATCAGTACTAGTTGAAAAAATGAAAGTTCCTATATTTTATATTTCTATTTACTTTAATGAGAATGAGATTTACCCTTTAGCATGAGCTGATCCGTTGAAGTAGAGCTTTCATCCTTTCTTTTTTATCAAATTTTAATGTTCATCTAGAAAGTCAGTTTTCCACTATTCATTATCTTCCACTAGATGTGCCACCAAAAACTTAGCTACTGCTCACCCTCTAACGGTTTTCTTAGTGACATACTCAAATCATACTCAAATAGTAGGATTAACCATCTTGATAGTTTCCCTACTAGTGCTGGGATTTTGTATAGGTACTTTACAGGATCCATTCTGGACACCGCTATTACGTTGTAAGACTGAAAATAGTGATGAAGCTTCTTGGTTACCTACATGTATTGACATGTCATACTTAAGTTAGAAAAGTCTAATCTAATGTGGCAAAACTATTGAAATAAGCTTCATACCCTTATTTGTTATTCTCTCATACGCTAAGGGTTTTGAGATATTTCTCAATTTGTCCTGGGCTGCTTTATCAAAAAAACTTTTAACAAATACTAATATCGAATCTTCATGATAAAAAAAGCAAAACAAACTTACTCATGATCCTTGTCCTCTTTTCCTCAAAAAATAATAGAATTTAAACATTCATAAAAAGAGATGTAGCCTAAACAAATCAATAGAAAAGAATAGAAGTGCTAAAAAAAATCAAAAAAACAAGACGAACTAAAATCTTGAACAAATAAATCACTTTCTTTCATGAATAAACAAAACTAAAAAAAAGAAGAAGAAAAATAAATTATGTGAAAAGAAATGAAATCTTGAATGAAAATTTAAACTTCTTGCAGAGTCAAAATATCGGACTTTACTAAAAACCCAACAATATACTCTTTTTCCCTTTAAATCTTAAGATTAAATACACAATTAATCACTTTAATTCCCTTCAAGCTCCCATAAACCCAACAACAAAATTATTAAACTTTGATTCAAAATTTCCAAAAAACAAAACTTCCTAATTCAAAAAAAAAAAAAATAATAAAATTAATATTGATTGAACAGAACTATTTTGGATCGGCAAGGTTTTTTACAAGAAATTGCAAACGAGATTGACCACGGCCTCCATTGGCTCGAAGAAATTGGAGTGAGAAGGCTCGAATGCTTTTGAGCCTCCTGAAAATAGTTTAGGAGAGCATCACAGTTCCAACACTTCAACAATGCTCCAATTGTTGCTTGATCTGTCGATAGCCCTGGTAAAGGAGATACAATGTTATTTTGAGAACAATAATAAGGCATGATGGTCATTTCTTTGGTTTTGCCATGTTGTGTTAGATTTTTCTTACTAACTATTACATGTCAGCTCATATAGGATGCTAACTGGATATTTATGAGGCCCACTAATTGCTTAATCATATTTTCCACTGCCACATCATCGGTCAATACTTAGATTAGCTTTTTTTTTAAAAAGTTAACCATCTAATTATAAACATTTTCTGTTCATACACCAAATTGACAAAAAATAAAAAATTGATACACTAAATTTATGATTTATCTATAAATAATAAAATCAAATCTAAGTATTCATATAATAAATAAAAAAATCAAGATTGAGCATTTAATTTTAAAATTGAATTAATTTTAAGATGCAAAAATAATGAGTTTGATATTAATTCAAATTAAAGTGTAATTGCAACTATGTTAATATGTCCAGATTACAAAGATCAATTTAGAGAAAAATTGAAAATACTCGATAAATTTGAGGTGAAATTAAAGGTTAGGCCATAATTTAGTTGAATTAAAAACTATTTTATTGATAATTATATAAACCGATGAAATATAAATGTGTTTTTGTAGTTTTTAGGAGACTTAATAGATAGAAATAATATTGTTTTCTCTTGACTAATCAAATTAATGAAAATTATTATAATGATAAAAAATATTACGGTGGAGAGTACTCTTACATAAGCGCGATGAACCATACTATACCTGACTAGCGGTGAAATATAAATATTGTTTTCACAGATAAAATTCTTGGGAACAAGCAAATTTCAGCTGAGGGAAAAGACAATAGAAGAAAAGTACAAAAGATAACAATAGATTACTGTCGCACTGTGATTTTAATTTTGTTTTCAGTGTCCTCAGGCTACATCTATATCTATATATATATTGATCATTTGGGAAATGAGAAAGTGACCAGAGAGAGTTAAAACTTATAAAGGACGTCTACTCGTCTCTGTTGTTGGCTCCTTAATCCCTTTGTTTCAATTCGACCTTTCCAACGGGCGGCCTTGGCCTTTCCCTCTATCATCTCTGTTTCATAATATTCTCCCTAATCTCCATTTTCTACCCATTTGTTTCTTTATCATCTTTCTTCTCCGTGCTTGTTTTGCTATAAATAGCCTCTTATTAGAATGTCTCTGATAAAAACAATGGAATCAACTGGTTTAGGTCATGTTCTGCACCCTTCAATGAATACAAAAGAAGAAGCAAGTGGGGCTTTTGTTTTTGACTCATCTAAATTGCAGAAAGAGCCAAACTTGCCAACTGAGTATGTCTGGCCTGATAGAGACTTGGTCAGCAGAAGCCAAGATGAGCTTAAAGAACCTTTAGTAGACTTAGATGGATTCTTGAAAGGTGATGAGGAGAAGACTGCTCATGCTGCTGAGCTTATTAGGATTGCTTGCTTAAACCATGGCTTTTTTCAAGTCACCAACCATGGAGTCGACGCTGGCCTTATTGAAGCCGCTTATCACGAAATCGACACAATCTTTAAACTCCCTCTTGATAAGAAGCTAAGTATTCGTAGAAGGCCCGGCGATGTATATGGGTATTCCGGTGCCCATGCCGATCGGTACTCGTCTAAGTTGCCGTGGAAAGAGACACTCTCTTTCCCGTACCATGGGAATAACAGTGAGCCAATTGTCGTTGATTATTTCAAACGTGTCTTGGGTGAAGATTTTGAACAACCAGGGTATGATATTGTCGTTTTTATTTTGTTTTTTTCTTTTATTTTGTTATTATGTGAGTGCTGGGAAAAGAGATTTCAACTTGGGTTAATATAAGGCACTTAATTACTGCCGGTTAAAATGTGGGTAGGGTCATGGTAATTATTTAGGCGGTTGGGTTTAAATCAAACCAAATCAGTGCAAACTTAAAATTTTTTTAAATAAAATCAAACTGAATTGAATAGTGTACCAAATACAACCCAACTATTTCCTGTTACTCGATTTGATTTAACTTTTAACTGTTTTTAAACGGGTTTTGGCTTATCTTTTTAGCTTAATAAAAATCATATCAAAATTAAATCAATATAATTTTTTTTCAAGAAACTGAAATGAACCGAATTTATTAAAACCATACATAGAGAATCAAATCAGTTCAATTTTAGTACTTTTTATTTTTATTTTCTATGGAAAAAGGAAAATATTCAAAATTAATAGTTATTAGCAGTTAATATTTAAGAAATAAAAAAAAATTGGGAGTTTTTTCCTATTACAATCTCTAATTTTTTAGTTATATATATAAGAATATTTACAAGAATAAGAGAGAGCAGTGGTAAGTAATTATAGAGAAAATAGAAAAAATTTGGGAGTTTTTGGGCGCTAGAGCATATCTCTACATTTTGTAGTTATAGGGTGGATATAATATAATATATATAAAATATAAATTATATATAATATATATATATATAATATATAGTATTATAAATTAGGGTATGATATATGGTGGATAGTACATGTAAGGTTTGATACCGTCGAGATGGCAAAACGTGCAATTGTCAATTTTAAAAAATCTGAGCGAACTACGAATGAAAATTTAAGCCACATGGGTTCAAATTTTAAATGAAAGTGAGGAGCATCGTTAATTATAGATGTTGAGTGTAATAAAATTGTGGATTCGGTTTGGAGGTGTTGATTAGTTGTGAGAATGTCAAAGTTGAAAGGGGTGTATGCCTATAATAATGAAATCTTTGAATCTTTTAAAGTTATAGTTATGAAAGGGAAACATCTTGGCTATGCAATCGTGAATTAATCTTACCAAAATTTACTTGAAAAGTGTTTATTTGTGCAAATTCTAGTATATGCCACATGAACCAATCTAATTTTTATATATCATTAGTTTGATATCTCGAATGAAAACTGTCAATTTCAATTTTAAAAATTGAGCAACTACAATAAAAATTTAGCCACATGGTTTCAATTTTAATGAAATGAGAATCGTTAATTATAATTTGATTATAAATTTGATCGGTTTGATTTTGATTTAGTTGTAATTCAAAATTGAAATGTGGCTATGCCTATAAATATCTAATCTTTTAATCTTTAAGTATATTATGAGGGAAACATTCTGGCTATGCCAATGACTTATTCTTACCAAATTTACTTGAAAAGTGTTTATTGTAGCAAATTCTAGTAATATGCACATGACCAATTCTAATTTTTAACATTTTTGCAGGTGGGTTTACCAAAGGTACTGTGAAGAAATGAGGAAGTTATCTCTAGTAATTTTTGAATTGCTGGGCATTAGCTTGGGAGTAGATCGGTTTCACTACAGTAAATTTTTTGAAGACGCTAAGTCAATAATGAGGTTCAATTACTATCCACGTTGCAACAATGCCGGTCTCACTCTGGGAACTGGTCCTCATCACGACCCAACATCCTTAACAATACTTCACCAGGATGATGTTGGCGGTCTTGAAGTATTTGCAGACAACAAATGGCAATTGATCCGTCCTCGTCCAGATGCACTAGTCATAAACCTTGGTGATACTTTCATGGTAAGTTCCGCAGCATTATTTTAATGCTTCCTTCATCCCAAAATATAAATTTATGACAAAAATTATTTTTTAATAATTATTTTATTTTAAAATATAAATTATTTTGATAATTTTAAAGGATAAAAAAATGATATTTTTTATTATCATCCTTATCTATATTAAATACAATAACTATCTTCACAAATTATCTTTAATTCTAATATAATAGTGATTTAATCAAATCAGTGGTGAAAAAACCTTAAATCACTGCTTATATTGTGAGAAGATCTTTTTATTGTTTGGATACAATACATTTACTCGAGTTAAGAATCTAATGCACTAATTTGCAAAAATTATGATAATTTTATAATTGTCTACTGCTATATATAATTAACATATACACATTTTTTTGACTCAAATAGGAACGGAATTCAAATTTTAATTTCATATGTTTTCATAAATTTATACGGCAAAATTAACTTTTTGTTTTAATAGTATTTAAATATTTGAGTAACTCTTAATAAAAATTAAAAAATTAAACGTCACATAACTAACTTTTTTATAAGATAATATCTAAAAAGTGCTTCAAATGTTTTAGTTTATGGAACACTAAAAATTAGCGGCTTAAAACATTAGATTTGATTTTTAATAAAATTTCAAAAAGTTAACAACCCGCCTACAATTATTGATGGGAAGATATCTGAACGATGGAATCAATTTATTACCATTAATTATCATAATAATTACCATAATAATTGTACCAACGCAGAATTAATAAGTTTGACATGCACCATGCACTTTTAGTCGTAGTCTAATTAAGACAAGTATATTATTTTCAAATAAATAAGACAAGTATATTATTTTCAAATAAATAAGACAAGTATATGTCATATAGCTATCATGTCGTTTTTCCTGGTGTTAAGATTGTGACATTTGATAGTGTAACATCACAATTATGATTCAACATTACTTTGTTTTTCTATTTGTAGGCAAAATATATAAAATTATGAATTTTAGTAATATTATATAATACTTCTCTCTACATTATCAATAATAATTTTTAAATTTTTTAGTTTTATATATATAATACTAATTTAATGTGGAGTTAATACGATTTTAAATTAATAATTTTCACGTTATAAATTATCTAATGAATGTTTAGTTAATTTAATTTACAAGTTGAATTATTTAAACGAATGATTTTTTTAAATTAAAGTAAATAGATATAATTTTATAATTAAAGGTGTTTAACGGATGAATGTAAATGTTGAATGTCATAATTTTTTCTAAACAATAGGAAGTTATGTAATAGGCATTTTTTATTACACCGACACCTGCAAATTTTTGAAATTTAATCTTTTCCCCTTTAATTGTCTTTATATTTTAAAAAGATATATGTTAAGTCAAATTACTAGTCAAAATTTTCAACTATGATACATTGTACTAGTAATTGAATGGGACTATTCACTTTGATTGCAATAGATAGAGGAAGAAAATGAGAAGTCAAACCATTGAAATTTTCTATTTAAAGGAATTACTTGTTTGGTTTATTTTGAAATCGAAATGAATATTCCAAATATAATTTACAAGTAATAAACAAAATTTGTTGTGTGATTTGAAAAAAAAAAAAAATTTTGTTGCGCGATATTTAGGCACTATCGAATGGAAGATACAAGAGTTGCCTGCACAGAGCAGTGGTGAATAGAGAGAGACAAAGAAGATCATTGGTTTTTTTTGTGAACCCAAAAGAGGACAAAATTGTGAGACCACCACGAGATCTTGTTTGCAGAGAAGCGCCAAGGAAGTACCCTGATTTCACATGGTCTCATTTATATGAGTTTACACAGAAGCATTATAGAGCTGATGTTGATACACTCCAAAGCTTCATCCCATGGCTTCTCTCCTCCAAATCTTCATCTAACTTCTAGTACTTCTTTTGTGTGCTTTTGATAATTGTTTTCCCTTTTTAATCTATTCTACTCTTCTATGTCTCTCTTCTCTTTATTTTCTCAATTGGGTATTTTGTGTGTTTTATGTGTATGTATCTAGGGGCAGAATTGGAACTTCAATATTAGAGAGATTAAAAATAGAAATGAGCATAATTGGGGAACCAGCCCAAACATGAACTTTGAGAAAACTTAGGGGAGCTATTTCCTTTTAGGTCTACACAAAGCTTCGCCCCTCTGTGTATCTCAACTTTTAATTTCTTGTAAAAATTATAAAATCACTATTTCATGTAAAAATAAATAATATACTTAATTATTTATAAGTTCTTTTTAAGAAATAACTAATAAATATTATAAACTCAAAAATCAAAACAAAACGAGCAAGGATAGAGGCACTTCCTCCATATTATCAAAACCAATGGATGCTTTTGATAATTGTTTCTCCTCACAAGAATAGAAGCGCACTTTTTTTTTTAAATATCAGGGTGGTGTCCAACCTTTAAGACTGACTAGCAGACAGATGTAATTTCTACTCTCCACCTCTAGTGCTAATGTCCCTTTATATGGATTGGACAAATCTCCAATACATATAGGGTTATAATCTAAGAGCATTGGCAGGCTTAAACCCGAATAGAGATTAATTAACGATTTGACCACTTTGTTGCTTCGCAAACAACCGATTGACCTCAAGTCACCGTGAGCAGGTGATTTCATTTTGATTGATCACAGCTCAAGAATTGATTGATCTCATACCCAATGGAATATACCAATTCAAACTTCAATTAATCTTAATCATGCACCTATTTTTTCCTTCGCATATATGTCAACCAAATAACCCAAAAGCCGTGAATACTTTGCTAAGCTCTTGATCAAGAACACTCCTTCCATTGTAAGTGAGACATAAAATCAAATCCTTGTCCTTTTCTTGAAGCAATATGCACCCGATTTCACATGCCAAGAATGCAACTCCTCTCGGCTTGTTAGAAAAATAATTAGGCAAGTGCTCGACCAATAAAGAGCTAGCCTATTATATCGATTGTTGACTACTTAAGATTCCTCATTGCGGAAATCGGTCAGAATTTATGAGGTACTTCATTTTTCCTATCTTCCCATGCCTATATATCGATCACTTCTTCTTTCTACAGTACATCTGAGTTAGAGTAGATGATAGACTAACAAACTAATAAATTTGTACTAATTTCTATAATATATAATTAGGAGACTAAGAGCAAAATAACTAATATCTATATAATCATGAAGGAGGATGATAATGCAAGGAGTTTTGGATATGAAATAATATCAAATATTTGATGGCCAATGATAGGTTTATTTTTTATAGTATTTTTAATATAATTTTTATTAGGATTTGGGTATTTTTATTTATTTTAGTTAGTTTTTATTTAGTTTTATTTATGGTTTTATTTAATTCTTAATTTTTGCTTCCTTTATTGTTTTGATCTCGTTTTGGCAGGTTTTTGTAGGGTTTTAATTAGGAATTTGTCAATTATCAAATAAAGATGAATGGTGACCACAAAGCTAGTACTTAATTCGAGTTTCATACCGATTGATCAACTTGGACTCCTAATTTGGAAGGAATACAAGAATTAATTATTTTTCATTATAATTCTATTTCTTCCTAAACAAGTTGGGTAGTTTTCCTAATTAGACTCAAAGAAGCCGTAAAACGTCTATATAAAGAGAGATCTTTGCACCATTTAGGGTTGGATTATTATTTGATTCATTATTGCATATTCTATTCTTTACATTGTTTTCTCTTTACAAGACCTCCAACAATCAAGTTCGAGATTAAGATTCAAGGAAGTGCTACAAGCCAATCGTTAATTAATTTTTATTTTTAAACTCTCTTCTTGTTTTATTTTCAATATTCATGTTGATTATGAGAATATTTACAACTTTATTTGAGTTTAATTTAATTACTATGTTGAACTAAATTCTTATACTAGGATTTGATGTAACTTAATTTTGATTTCAATTTATGATATTAGATTTGGTTTTTTTTTTTATTCATGGTATAATTTATTATATCGCACTTAATACTTCTGGACAGAGTTTCTCATATAGATTAATTTATTTCATTAATCACTATTTGGAGAAGAGTTTTTGATAAGAAAAAGTTAATAAATTATATGGAAATAATAACTTGATGCAGAAACTATATGGTTTGACTCATAGGGGGGTTTTTATAAATTAACAACCTTAAGTTATGAATTTATAAATAACTATAAAACTTAATGATTTAATTTATGTTTGATTGCGCTATTGTAAGATAGGTAATAGATCGGGTTAAAAATAGCTAATATTACATTGAGAGAGCTTGTTATTGATTTTAGGATTGTTTCTCATTCTTGAACAATTAAAATTCATTGTCAAATTAATAGTATAAATTGGATAGAATTAAGTGAAGTCAAAATCCTAATAGTTTTTAATCCTTGATTTGTTTTTAATAAATGACTTTGATTAATCTCTTTTTAATATTTTCTTTTATTCTCTTTATTTTAATTTTTGAAAATATTCTCCTTATTGTCATTTAAATAATAGTAGGTTAACACAATTTTAGTACTTTGTATACAATTTTTATGGAACAATACTCTATTCATTCTTTATTACTTATTGCAAATTCCTATACTTGTGAATTTGTCTGTCAACTTATAAAACTACGAAATTCAACATATATGCAATATGTAAGTTAGCCCTAATCAAACATAAAAAGGTTGTAATTATGAATTAAATTAAATTTTTAAAAAACTAATAAATAATGTACTAATTTAAAATTAATTCATTAAAATTTGATTATTAGAGAAAATACTTTATGCTTCCACAATTAAGGAGAACAATATGGCGAAGAGTCTTAGATATGAAATAATATCAAACTCTTGATAGTCAACAGATTAAGAAAGTAAACTTTTGAATACCTTTATTAATTGGTCCAATGCATCTATTGCCTCTTGTACTTCTACAAAAAAATCTTTTAGCCACCTCAACTTTCAAAATGACCTTTTGGTCCCCTAGATTCGTTTTTTATAATTTATGCACTCCTGAACACGTAAGAAATTGGGACGTGATATACACTAGTCAAATTAGCGAGTTAGGTCTGTTAAGATTTTCTTATGTGGCAGATTTTTATTTGCCACATCATTTAATTTGGTGAAATAATGTTTAGGTCAAAAATCTCCTCTTAAAATGTGATACCAAGCTCTCACCATCGCAAACTCTCTCCTCCTCACTTAGCACTCTCGTTCCCTCTCTCAGCTCGATCCAACCTATCATTTTACTTGCAATGGACATACCCATTGATTATATAATCCCAATTGCTCGTGTGGTGTGACTGCTGTGATGAAAGTATTGTGGACCGAGGCAAATCCTAGAAGAAGATTTTTTGGATGCAGGAGATTTAGGGTGAGTTGGTAGTAGAAAATATTAGAATATTGAGATAGAGGTAGTAGAAATGAAAATATATATGAACATTTTGAGATAGAGGTAGTAGAAAATTATATAAGAGCAAAACTAAATTAAAAAGGACTAATCAATGATTAGAGTATTGAGACACTTAGAGAGATTAAGAGCAAGTCATAGCTAGCATAAGCAAGCTGAAGGCTCTTTCCAAAAAATTACGATATCAAATAACCATCCTTATAACAATAACTAGTCAAAATCCTATGCTTCGCACGCGAGTTTTATGTATTTTTTAAATAAATATTATTATTGAATTATACTATTATTTTTAAAAATTTTTTATTTGTAAACAAAAATAATTAAAAATATTTTAAATAAAATTTTGATTAATAATATTATTTAATCCTTATTTATTTGAATATTCAAAGATCAAATTAATGTTTTCAAATCCTAATATTCCTCTTTTAAAAATCAAAATAAATAACACTTGTTTTCATTAAGCATTAAAAAAAACTATGGATTTGCATCTTTATCATTTTCAAACAACAAAATTTTCCTTGAATTTTATTAGTAATTATATGATGGTGTAAATAGACATAATGTGATATATAACTTAAATAAAAAATTATGAATAATTTAAAATATATAGATTATATCAAATTAAATTTCTAAAGTTATTATTATTACTATAAACATCAACTTTTAAATTTTAAAAAAAGGGTGTCATTAAAATATAGAAAAAAAAAGTGTAATACTTTGTGCAAACAATTTAAGTAAGCCGAGCTAAAATTTAGTTAAAATATACAATTCAAAGAACTCAAATACATTATTTTATCCTAAATGTTAATCCTATATAAATAAAATACTATTTAAATTATTCAATATGAATAATATAATTAAAATAATAACTTTTATACTTTAGATAAATACTTAAGTTCTATTTTTGTAACACTAATACCAAACACTAAATATTATTTTATAATTTGTTAGTCTTATAATTTGTGCAATTAATGGAGCCAAGACAAATTGGAATCAGCTTTAACACTTTGAAAAAAGAATTGTAATTCAAGGGCATTGAATCTAAATTTCAAATCACTTGAAATATCATTTGAATCAAATAGGAAAAAAGAATAAGAAAGAAATAATTTATTACCCTTGTAGAAGTTCAATTAGCAAACATGCCAAGAGTATCAATTAGAAGTTCAATTAGATTAGATTAAATAGGTATAAAGATAGAGATAAGAAAAAATTTTAAAAATTTAAATTTATAATATTCAGCCTATACGAATTAATGGCATGAACTAATACTTGGCAATCTGAATAAATAATACCATTACCGGAAAGCTTGTCGCAAGCATAAAGTAGGCAGTGGCATACTGGACTCCACCACTACCTTTTTGAAAATCCAACACAACACATAAAAAAAAAAAAAAAAAAAAAAAAAAAAAAAAAAAAAATTCAAATCACTTGAAATATCGAGATGTTGAATCAAATGAGGGGAAAAAAGAATGGAGGAAAGAGAATAAGATTTATTATCCCTTATAGAATTCAAGTTGTAGCAAACAGTGGCAGAGGTGAATCCAAGGATTAGAAGTTCAAGTTAGGAGGTTAAGATTAAATAGGTGATGAAAGATGAGAGATGGAGAGAAAAAATTTTATAAAAAGATTTTAAATTTAGATAATATTGCAGCTTATACGAAATGTAGTGGGCATGAAAGGAGAGACCTTGCAAATCTGAATAATAAT